GGATGGAGTGTGTCTGAGGAGTGATTTCCAAGTCTAGTCACAGATTCTCTCGGTAACATATTCTGATACAACCGACTCCATTGCGGATGGATTTTATTTACTAGCAGGGGATTGAATGCATGTGCACACCACACTTTTCAGAACTGCACAGCAAAACCGTTTGAAAATCATTCCTTTCCTCCACCTTCATAACGACGTGCTACTTTGTGTCGGTCTGTCACATACGGTCTAAATGAAATATGATCACTTTTGTGGGTTTAAAGTGACAAAATATGAAAAAACAAACAAACTAAAAACAGAAACAAAAAGAGGAGTACTCTTTCGTGGCATTGCATGTGTTTCCTGCCCCGGGGGAACTATAACAAGTTGTGGCCGTTATTAAGAGTGTTAGTGCTCAGGCTTCTGGTTCTTGTGTTTCTGTCCACAGCTGCAGGGCTCCATTATGGTGGCCTCTGTCCTCCAGATTCTTGTTGGTTTCTCTGGCCTCATCGGGTTCCTCATGCGCTTCATCGGGCCCTTAACCATTGCCCCCACCGTGTCTCTGATAGGCCTGGCTCTGTTTGACTCGGCGGGAGTAAAAGCTGGCAGCCACTGGGGTATTTCTGCTTTGTAAGTAGCTCCTCGGAAAGAAAACTCTTTAATTCAAGAGCTCGGATTTCCAAAAAGACAGAACATGACGTCTCTCCTTCAAGATGCGTTTTTACGACTTGGAGAGCAGCATCTGCTTGTCTCGGGACTGGCTTACAGTTTGAATGTTATTCTGTTCCTTTTGTCGTACTCACAGGACGACGGGGCTGATCATCGTGTTCTCTCAGTACCTCCGTCTCATACCGATTCCTGTTCCCTTGTGCTGCAAAAACAAGAAAAGGAAAACCGCAAAGTTTTACATCTTCCAAACCATGCCTGTATGACGTCTCCTGCTGTGATTCGCATGTCACTCGGGGCTAAAATGTCGACATCAGAGCTCTAATCCATACTAATTTTAGATGTCAATTAGATTCTGCTGGGCATCACCATCTCGTGGTTAGTCTGTTACCTCCTCACCATATCTGATGTCCTGCCGTCTGATTCTGCTCGCTACGGTTACCTGGCCCGCACTGATGTGAAGGGAAATGTGGTGAGCAAGGCCTCTTGGTTCACGCTGCCATACCCCGGTGCGTAGCTTTACTAAAAAGAAAACAACAAAAAAACACAGTTTGATTGGTCGAGACCAATTCAGCGATCAACAGTTTGACTTGTCTTTCAGGCAGGTGGGGGGTTCCAACCGTGAACCTGGCAGCTGTGGTTGGGATGCTGGCCGGAATAGTCTGCTCCATGGCAGAGTCTGTGGGCGACTACCACGCCTGCGCCAGGTTGTCGGGGGCGCCTCCTCCTCCGAGGCACGCCATCAGCAGGGGCATCGGCGTGGAAGGGATCGGCTCTTTGCTGGCAGGGGCCTTCGGGACGGGCAATGGCACCACGTCTTTCAGCGAGAACGTGGCGGCTCTCGGTATCACCAGGGTAAGTGCAAAAAAGGAAAAACGCTGATCGGGTGCTTTTACAGAGTGGCTTTAAAATAATCCCCTTTTCGCGCACTTTGTTGGCAGGTGGGTAGTCGGACTGTGATTCTCCTGAGTGGATTTCTCATGATTCTGATGGGAGTGGTGGGCAAAATTGGGGCCGTCTTCACCACCATTCCCACTCCTGTCATCGGAGGGATGTTTCTGATCATGTTCGGTGTCATATGTGCTGCTGGGATTTCCAATTTGCAGGTGAATAGACAAGTCTATATACATATATATATTTTTTTTTTTGTTGCTGACAAATTTCTCCAATTGTAGCGGGGTTTTTTTCTTTCTTTTTTTTGGTAATCCTTTCGTTTTGGACAGTTTACAGACATGAATTCTTCTCGGAACATCTTCGTGTTTGGGTTCTCAATTTTTTCGGCACTTACCATCCCAAACTGGATCATGAAGAATCCCGGCGTCCTAGAGACGGGTACGGTTCACGTGCTGCTTATTTAACCTTGAATTACGACTCGGTTAGCTGTTTCTGCTTTCAGTGGGGAAACGGTGAGCAGGTTTTCCCATAAAGCAAGCTGTTATTTCACTGTAGTGTCCTCTGTGCGTTATGACTCAGGTGTCAAAGAGGTGGACCAAGTTCTGCATGTGTTGTTCACCACCCATATGTTTGTAGGAGGGTTCCTCGGCTGCTTCTTGGATAACACGATTCCTGGTAAGCTGAAGTGGAGAGCTGTTGCTGAGTTACAATAAAGTCCTTTCTTTCTTTCTTTCTTTCTTTCTTTCTTTCTTTCTTTCTTTCTTTCTTTCTTTCTTTTTTGGCACTAATACATTCAATCACAATGTATAATGTTTTTTTTTTCCCCCACATATTCTGACATTACTACAAACCTCTTTTTTATGGTCTGTTGTATTTTTATGGATTTTATGTAACACTAAGTGCTGCACAATACAGAAGTGAAACAATGAAAGAAAAGAAAGAAATTTTTATTACAAACCAAAAAATCTGAAAAGTGTGGCATTCAGTCCCCGTTGGCAAATATTTAGCACTTTTTTTTTTTTGCAATAAGTCTATTCTGATATGACTCTATCGATTCTATACATGGGGGGGAATGTCCACCTTTCCTTCCAAAACGGCTCAAAAAGGAATGGAGAGCATCAGTACATTCAAGTATTATGATCTTGACCTCTGTCTTGGTCAGTCTAACATAAATATGCATTCATCTAACTAATTAGCTCAGGATTTGATAGGTGAACCACTCCCTTTCATCCATCTGATCATCATATCTGATAATCTTTTGAGTCTCTGCTATAAAAAAAAAAAAAACTTCCACAGCACTATGCTGTCACCACCATGTTTTACTTTGGGGATAACAAGAGAAGTGTTTGTTTTCCACCAAATAGATTTTCTATTTGTGCTACTCCTCAGTATTTACTGATGCAGTTCCTTCTGAAGGCACTTACTTGCAATGGATTTCATTTAGGGGTGTTTAGGGGCATGCCACACATTTCAGATTTTCTTTAGCAAAAAAAACAACAAAAATAAAGAAATAAATTAAACCCATATATGAGTTTTCTTCATCTTTACAACTGCATGCTGCTTTGTTTTAATGCATCACACACATTCACATAAAAAACACTGAGATTTGAAGTGCGGGGGTGTGAATATATATATATATATATATATATATATATATATATATATATATATATATATATATATATATATATATATATATATTTTTTTTTTTTTTTTTTTTTTTTTTTCTATTTTTTATTTAAAGTCGTTTTATTTTTTTGCTCTCAAAAGTTCAA